AGATGTCAGAAGAAACAAAAGATGAATTAGAAATTAATCTTCCACAATTTGAGGGAAAAGAGGAGGAGGGATATACCTTGGTGGATGAAAAAGAGGATAATTATATTGGAATTGAGAAGAGGACTAAATTGATAATCTTTGTTTTTATTGTTAACTTGACATTTGATAATTGCATATTTTGTATTGAATTATACTTTGAATTGTATATTATGTTACATATATTTTGAGTTAATTATTTTCTGTCATTTTCTATAATCTATATTATTTTTTTATATATTTTATTATATCTGCCATAACCCACTATGGAGATCGCTATAATTTTATGGCAGCTTTTTTTATTTTCACCATGAGTCGCCATTTGCCATTGATAACATTGATATTAATAAAGATTGTAGCAAAATGTTAGCATCTTCTTGCTCCTAAATTTGTTGTGAGATAAGATCATGTTTGTACCATATCCTCCCACTTTGCTCTTTTCTCTCAAAAGAAAATTCTATTTTTATGAAATGCAAACAGATAGAAGAACATAAGATTGAAAATTGCATCCACCTTGGATTTCAAAGTACTACAGCAAACTCCATTGACTGAAAATTAATTTGAATGAATTCAAAAACTTAAAAACAAAGCCAGGTAGCCACATAATAGTATCTACAATACCAAATCTTTATTTAAGGTGAATTTGATAGAATTTGCAAATGTATGATCCTCATCCACCAGAGAAAAGTTGATTTACTCTGATCAGAGTACGACCCTAGTTCCATCACCGACTATCAATCTGAAACACAATATTAACACGTTTTAAGAACAACCTTCACAATCAACACTCCATTGTAACCATTCAACATTACACAAATTAGTTTTCTTGTACAATAGCTATGAAACTCCTCTCCAAGTTTGTTCATATTTTAAAAAAATGAATACACTCCCAAATTAGTTCTCAAAATTGTATGAGTCAAACAATTAAGCCCTTGAAAATTCAAAAACCTTCCATTAGTCCCCAACTTTACAAAATGACATTCACGTCACTTTAATCCTTTTTAGCATAGAACGGCAATGAAAAATAAAATAAAAAGGACTAAATTGAACAATTTTTTTTGCCAAATTGGACACTTAACACTCTTAAAATGCATGACCCTACAATCTCAAGAACTAATTTGCGGGTATACTCTTAAAAAAACACTCTTAAAGTTCCACCGCTGACAGCCAACCTACAACCTGATAGTAACTTGTTTTACACACAATCTTCAAAAGCAAAATACATTTTTTTTTAACATTCATAAGTGTTGCAATAACTGAAACAGCAACATGTAAGACAGTAGCATGACCAAAATCATCATTCATTTATAACACACTAAGCAAAAACAATTAAAAGCGTATCAAAGTAAGTTCATGAAGTCCAATTGACGGGAAAAAAAAAAGGTAAAATTATCAGTGTTTGTTATAATTTCTCCTTTTCATAATATCAAATATAACATTGACATTGCAAATATTCAGACAAGGACCTGATAGACACTGCAAATGTCACTATGACCAATACTCATTAACTAAAGACTGAAACTTTGATGATATTGATCACGTGCCAAATCAAAATCAAACAGATATCCAAAACACACACCAAATTAGGGAAAACCCTTACACAACCCAGGATAAAGATTAGAGACAACTTGAACTGCTTCAGGTGTTCGTTTATTCGAAAAGTAAACGGGGAATTACAGGATTTCGGTTGGTTATCAATGTGTGTTTTTGGGTCTAAGGTTGGTTGGTCATGCATGTGAATGGTTCTGATAGAGTGTAAAATAGTGTTTTTTTTTCCCTTTGATCCATCAGGTTTATTGTGGTGTGCACAGTGTTTGGGCCTCCAAATGAATTTTGGATAGTGAATAATTAAGACGGTTTCATATTCTAATAGTTAATTTTATATTGATAGATAATAGAATTAGTATTTTAGTTTAAAAAGATACTAGTATTTTTTTGTTTTTAAAATATTAGAGAAATCACAACTATTCATTTATAGAGAATATAGAGCACTCCCTTAAATTTACAGGTACCAGTTACAACCACAATTTTATAAAAGATTCTCCCAAATTTAATAGTGTTTTATTCTTTTTCTAATATTTTTTTATGAAGTTTTTTACTTATATACAGTAAGTCATTGTTTTTGTTTGCTGATAGTTTTTATTTTTCATTTTTTCTTCAAGTTTTTATCTTTTCTTTTATCATATATGTTATTTTTTTATTTTTCTTTTTAATTATCCATTCAAACTCATTTGAGTTATCTTTAAACATATATCTAAAAAAGGAAAAAGATGAAAAAAATAGAAAAGAAGAAGCATGTTCCAAGCAGTTAAGTTTGTGTTGCTGCTGGAAAGTAGAAGATTAATTTTAAATTCTATTATGTTTAATGTTTGAAAGGTTGATAAATTGTGTTTAGTATTTAACATGCAAAGTTGATTCTTCGTTATATGTTTTATGTGTATTATTGTAATACTCTTAGTATTTAATATTATTAGATCGTAAGTGTGGTAAGACTTTCTTAGTCACTCAATATTTGACCAAAAAAAAAAACTAATCTTAATCTTTTGACAAAAACTCAAACCTAATTCTGATCTTACTTTACTTGATTTAGGATTAGCTCTTGGGCTTTAAATTTTTAAAGAAAATAATATATTATTAAATTAAACAATTCAATTCACTTTATCAACCAACACATTTCATGGGCTTTTAGTCCAATTTACAAATTTTTGTATTCTAAATTATAGGTTTATTCATTTTTATATTTCAAATTAATTATTGTGCAGATGCTTATCCAGTGAATGAGACTGTCTTTAAACTTGATTGATATGTAAAACATATGCTCTTGAATTGCTTTAACTTTTTACACATATGCATATGAAATTATGAATTACTTTCAATCATACATTATACACCTCAACCAATTTAATGAAGGTAATCTTAAAGAAAAACTAAAATATATTGCCCTCTAATAACATTTTTATGAAGACAAAAAAGTTATGTTGTGTTATTTGTGATTGTAAAATGTAGTCCCCATTTGTCACATAAAAAGTCAATAAAATATTAAATATATAAAATTGCTTTAGTTAAAAATATAAAGTAAAATTTTTTACATTTGTTATAAAAGTAAAATAATTAAATATTTGCAAAGAATTTAAATACTAGAGATGTTCATGAATCAATCTAAAAAACTATAAAAAAAACAATTTTTTTGCAATACCATTCAATTTTTGGTTCACATACCTAATTGCAATACATTAAATTTACGCTAATTTTTTATTTTATTATTATATAAACACTAACTTAAAATTTAATTTATTAAACATATTTATATTTAAATAAATTGAGTTTATTTTAACTTCTAATTTATAATTTAGAATAAGTTATAATTTATAATATTTGTTCATATTTATTGTATATTTAGCTTTAAATTTAATAAATATTGTCTTTTAAATAAAAATTAGTCATTAAAAATTATATATTAATGTGAGACTTAATTTATATTTTAATTAATTAAATTTCATTTATTTACTAATAAAAATTTAAAAATTATCACTTAAAAAAATAAGAAAAAAATTAGAAATAACTAATCTAAATCATAAAAATATTATTTTTAAAACAAGAAATCGAACCTCAACTTTATTTATTACCACGCCATGGGTGGGGTGTAATGCCAAACATCGGCAAAGCCAGGCTCCCGGAAACAAAGGGCAGAAAAGGAAAAAATTGGAATGTTTAGGGTTTTTACTTTTTTCTTAAATTTATGTTACTTTTATTAATTTAATATTGTTAAATTAATATACTTATAATATAATTCTTGATAAATTAGATATTTATTTTATAGGCTAAATTTATGTGTTATTATCTATATTATTAGAGTTGTTTATTAATTAAAATTAAATATGTATTTTAATAAAAAAATTATATTCAATGTTATCGCGTATTATGAAGATAAAATTTTAATTAATAATCTGTAGCAGTAACATCTAAATAAATATATTTAAGTTTTTTCTTTATTAATAACCACATAATAGTTTTTATTTATCGCTGAATAAATCGACGTTCTATTGTATTTAAATTCATTTACAAATGCCTTATTTTTTAATATGAGTGAAATCCCACAATTTATATATGATTTGAAAATTAATACATTTGATACTTACATAACTATTGATATAATCAAATATATTAAATAATAGTTCTTAATCTAAGAATACTATATATATATATATATATATATATATATATATATATATATATATATCTGGATAACATATTATGATAAATGATTTTCTCTCTTTTAAGTTTTAATACAACTGCATGTTTAAGTTCTCAAGATTATTTTTAAAATAAAACAGTCCTCTAATACATGTTTTACATTAAATACAAAAATTATTTTATTTAAATATCTAAAAATTAATATTATATATAATCAATTTTATTTAATTTTTAATCTTTTTATACATATATTTTAAAATATTATCTAAAATTAAAAGAAACATACAAAGAGTTGTATATTTTTAAAAAATATATAAAGAATATGTAAGAGTAAGATTACAAATAAATAATCATGCTTAAAAAAAAATACAATTTATACTAATTTTGATTTCACTTTACACTAATTACGTCAAAAGATATCTCACTTTAAATATGAAAAAGAAAATCTTATAAATACAACAATACGTTAGATAAGAAAACAAAAGGGTGCACGTGAAGGCCAAGCTGTCAGTGAATTTTCACCATAAATATTCTGGACAAGAAAAATATAGAGAACAAATATATATTTTAACGCACCATAGAATCACATAACAGAAACAGAAAAAAAAATGTACCACAATGTAGAGATTACACACATTTGCAATTGTTCTAAGCATTTCTATTTGTGGTTATGATAAGCACTGCAAAATTCCTCAAGATTGAGTGAAGAAAGAGAACAACCTCAATTACTATTACTGTGGTACCCCTTTTTCCAATTTTCACTCTTTCTTTTAGCAAACTTTGAAATGAGTGAGAAAAATGTTATTCCTTCTTTCTCTTTCTTTCTCTCCCTTTCTTTTCTTCCTTATCCATGAAAAGCACCCACCTTGCATGCAATGTTCCTCATCTTTCTTCCTATAACTATTCACTTCTCTCACAGTTTCTTTTCTTGTGTCCCATGTTTCTTTATCCTTCACTTCAACCTGCACATGCATTTGTACCTCTCATAATTTTCATATTTGGTGCATCTTGTACTTTTGATTAACATTTCTGAAAATGTTAATCAATCATGCCATCTTTTCCCAGAAAATTTTCCTTTATTAATTATTTGTAATCAAAGTTATGAAGTTTGATTCACGTTGATTAAATGGTAATCATGCTCTACAAATTATATATAAGTTGTTTGCAAACCAATTTATGTTGTGAACTTTTTATGACTTCCTTGTTTAGTAAAATAAAAAATTCAATATAGTGCTTAAGTTAATAAAGCTCTTTTGTTTAATGGGTTATTTTTTTAGGTTAAGTTTTTCTCAAATGTGTGAATTATAAAAATTGATATTTTCACTACCTTGAGTGAGTTGCTGAAAAGATCACCTGTAAGTTAGATTAAGGTATTATATACTTAGGTAAATGCATGAATCGATGGTTAAAATTATAATAAAATACATGCATATATTATAAAATCAGATGAGCCTTTTATTAAATGATTCTATGAAGTGTAAAATGCACACTAATAATCATTAATAAAAAAATTCAATTATAAAAAAATTCAACTATATATATATGCATATATGTATTTTTTATAAAATTTTAACCATATATTGATTTCATGGATCAATGATATATAGTTACTCTATCTTCTAAAAGTTCCTCATACACCAAGGATTTCAACCTGTATAAAACAATTTGAACAAACTAATCAATAGTAATGTGTTTGGTTGATGGTATACGACAAAAAAAAAAGAGTATGTTTTAAAACATTGTAGGAGAGCCCCAATGTGAAGGAAAGTTAAAGGCTTCTCTTCCTTCAAACAGCATGTGTGTGTTTGTGTGACATTTGGGAAAATGACTTGAAATGTACCACATTGCAGGAGTGTTTGGAACCACTACATATTCTCCTTAATTAAGGTATACTACCCTACCAGTTTGTAACTCAAATTGACATGGGTCCAAGTACGATGTTGACGTTGGAGGTTCAATTATCCACCAAGTTAATTTTTCGTCTACCTAATATCCACTTATTTGCATTTCCAATGCAACATAATAGGGTAAAAAGTATTCACATAAAAGGTAAAAACAAAGTACTTTTCAGTTACCATTTCCCATGCCAAATTTCCTTGCTGTGCCTATTCTATGGTGTCATTGCAATATGTCATTGCAATATATCATTGCTGTAATGCAGAGAATTAATTATGCTGTATAATTCACTCTGTTTTTAATTATAGCACTTTATACAAAGGGCCTTGTTAATTTAATTAGTGTTATTAGAATGCTAGTTAAAGAATTAAAAATAAAAAATGCATGTTGGAATATAATGACAATTATGGAAAAAAGTTCTTTGATAATATTTTTTAAAAAAAAATATGATTTTAATTTCTTAACTAAAATATTGGGTAGCATTTATTTACCTAAAATTCTAATGAAGGACTATTAGCATGGAAGTAAGAAGGCATTATTTTCATTAACTATGAATGAAAAATAATTTACTTGGATTCCAAATTTTAAATTGTTAAGTAATATGATATAATATACTGGAGAGATAAAGATACAATTTTTGTAAAATAAAAACACATCATAACTAGTCGTAGAATCTATTAATTAAATTTGATATTTTGTTTCTTTCTAACATGATTACATCATGTTATTCAACACATGCGTAGATTTAAAAGTAATTTTACATGAAACAAGGAGAAGCATTATATTGAAAGAAAATAGCACAAGTATTTTAAGAAGGAAATCTGGGTGGATTGAAGAGTTAAATTTGGAATGGATTATCAACTTGTGAAGAAACTCTTTCATCTCTGAAAAAATGGCTTTCCCAAGATAAAGACAAGTGCAAATATAGGTGTATATAGCAGACAACTTGGGGTAAGTATGAAGGGACCAAAACTAGAGTGGCATGTGCTCATGAAACAGAGAGAGGGACCAACATATGTAGTACTGCCCCCACACCACATTGGAAGGTTATCATCTAACTATATGCCAACTAGACTTGATTCTCTTATCTAGAAAGACACACCCTTGGCCTAGGTTTATTGTTCTTTCTTTTCTTCCATTTGCATTACAACATTTGGAAGATGGAAAATTAAAGCTGGGTTTTGAATATGGTTTTATCGTACTTCCTCAGGTTGACACAAAATTGATAACTACTCAACCTTTGACAAGTAATTCAGCATTGCAATAATTTTTTTTACAACATGCTATTGTTCCTTATAGTGTTGAGATGCTTGAGATCCAATCACGAGTGATAATTTTATGTATCTAAATGAGTTAAGGTTTTAATAGAAAATAAATTTTTTTTTATATTTTTATCTAATAATATTTTTTAAGAAAATATTATTTTCAATTACTTGAAATTAACCGTAAGAGCTTTTTTTTTATCATATTTTCTTGAATTCATCAAGCATTTAAAAACCAAAAAAAAATAAAAAAAAAAATAAAAACAAAGGCTGCAACACTAACATTAATGCGTTCCAATGTTTAACAACAAAATCTAAATTTTTATGTTATCATTAAGTTGTCAAAGCATATATAAATTTTCAAATTCGAGTCAAACATCTTTAAGGATTAGCTAATATATCATAAAGTGTTAAGAACTTCTTACTAATAATGTATCAAATTTACAGCGAAGATTACAGTCAAGAGTCAATTAAGTATCATAGGAAAAAGTAAGTATAACAAACGAGTACATAAAACATCACCATATTTTTAAAACTCGCACCTTTTTAATGTTGGTATTTTTTGTCTTCCATTAATGACATTCATTACCTAAATGGATAATATTATTTGTTTTCATAGTTAAAGGACCAAACAAAAATGAATCTGAAGCTAAAATGTCGAGGTCATGACTGGAATGCATTAGATTCTGACTATTCATTTGAAAAGTAAAGAACAAGAAAAATCTAGCACATACCTCTGCCTCAGATATAGTTCTAGCATTTGAATTTAGCTTATCTTCAGATAGCTTTATTGAAGTCTTTATGATGGATGGTGTTAAAGCAGGGCAGGGATTGCTTGAACTAAGATAAGGAGGTGTACTTTGAGTACCTGCATCTCTTGTCATACCCTCTTTAACCTTTTCTGTACACATAGAATTGTGAAGTGGCATGAAAATTGTGTCACCAAATAAAATTAAACACAAGAAAATGTAGACTAATTATAATTAAGTATAAGAACCTGGAACGTGAAATTGAAGAGCCACATCATCTTGGGTGTAACTGTTGTAAGTTGATGGCTTTGTTTGAATTTGTGTTGCAGAATAAACAAGAGGGGCAGACATGGTAATTCTGTTTGTTGTTGAGTTTCGAAATGATCTTCCACTAAGAGTTTTTGCAGATAAACACTCCATTGGTACCTCCCCTGAAAGAGGGTTGCATATATATTTTTCTGCTTCATTCCACTTGGAATTCAAGGCAAACCCTTCTGGAGATAAGCATTCCCAACTCTTATATGCTGACCTTGCTTGCAATGCTGCAGTGGACCACCATGCAATTGATTGAAAAATTCAACTAATATTATAAACCCTTTATGCTAATTATCAAGGTGGTTCATTCTCTGGTACCTTTAAGAGCAGTAGTGAAAGAATAGGTTGAAGGGTCTATTTCATCTGTGACAAAATTGAGAGAATTTGAGGGAAATTAAAGGTTAAAAAATCCAAATCATCATGAACTACTTGAAGTGAAGTGAACAAAAAATATATGCACCTTTTAGAGGGTACCCAGGTGAAGAAGCAGTACTAGAAATGGTTATGTTTGATCTAAAAGACCTTGTGTCTTCTCTAAAGCTTCTTATATATGATGCTGAGTACCTTCTGGACTTGGTGTTCTCTCTACTGATTCTAGCTTTCACTGCCCATTCTGTCAAATTGAACTCTGAATCATCTTGTTTCTTGGAACTATAAGATGATTGCATTTCCATTGTGGAGGCCATGAATGAGTTGGAAGTTTTCTTAAGTTCAAGGCCTATACTAAAATTTGCACGGGTTGAAAGTGGGTACAGCTATATAACACGACCAAAAAAGATCTTCAGAGTTCAGAAGGTGAAGCTTTTTGTGTTGGTTGCATATGGTTTTGTATTTAACCTGTCTCTGCCATAATTTGCTCTTTTTTCACCTTTAGAATCTCCAAGGTACAACTACATGGCTCAAATGTTTTCTATGTTACATGTCTGTCTATATTTTTATCTTTTTTGGGTCCCTGCAATAAATTCATTGTGCTGCCAGTAACTTTATTATTCTTTGATCCAAATAGTACAACTGGGTGAGATTTTAATCTTACCTGTTTATTATCATCGGACAAAAAAAGACCATTGGATTTATACGGTTCTATGTTGAAGAAAGACAAAATATACATTTGTCAACATTTTCTCTCTAGTTCCATTAATTAGTATGCTGCAATGGTTGATATTACAATTGGGGCACACAAAATTCCATGAGTTTAGACAATTTTAAAAATATTATAAAGAAAAATTTATTCTTTTTTGTAACACACATCTACACATATATGATATAATTCTACTAACAAGAGGATAAATTTATACTTGAATTTAAGTATGGCAATTAAAATCGAACTCAAGGGTATCATTAGATCACATCCTAATTTTGACCAAAAAAGCTCGCTTTGACTTGATATGGGGTCTTCAGGTTTTTTGCAATTTGCAAAAACGAAAGTAAAGGTGGGTCTAAGAAAGTAACTACTCGCTTGAAGTCATACTACTGTGTGTGTGTGTGTGTAAATAACTATATCTTACTAAATAGTTAAAAATTAAAATACATAAGTCATGCGACTTTGCAATCTTTAATTTTAATAATTCATGTAAGATTGTAAAATTAAGAATTATACATCTCACTTGTATATAAAAATAGTGTTACTAGATTCATACCATGCTCTTACACATTCATGTGTGCGTGTGAAACACTTTAACTATACAGACTATTTGCTTGCCCTCACTTGAAGCACATCTTTATCGATAGATATATCAAACTTACTGACCTACCGCAATGTAACAAGAGAAACTATAATTCGGCAGGTACATCATAAATTGCCAAAACAATGGTAGTGGTCACAATTTTGTTATCAATTTGTGGCAATCCGATAGAGAAAGGTTGACATTTATGGTTTACCCCCCTTGTTGCTTTGCACTTAAAAAGCCCAACATTGGCCTTGATGCATCAGTAATTCAAACGGACCTTACACCAGCTCACATAATCATTGATTTTTGTTTGATAAACACAAACTCTCGATACCCAATTCAGGAAACTTCTCCTTCGACCTGCAATCAGGTAAAGTTAGATGTTTTTCAATAAACTTACATCTGAAAAGCGCACAAAGAAACTTCCAGGAAGCTTTTAAATCAAAGAGAGCACACATAAAATTAATGTCATATTCTAATGGGTTTCCTTTCTTGGAAATTTGAACAGCCAAACAATGAAGAGTATAATTGCGTAGAATAATAGTTTAACCCCTTTTATTTACATTATTACTGAACCGGGGAGGAGGGAATTTGCATTTTTTAGGATTAAGTTTTAGACATCTACAGTGTTTATAATGTTTTGTAAAATACAAATTTAATAAATCGAGTCATAAAATCATATGATACTATCTTAGTGATTATACATATCAAATGTTGGATAGGTTAGACAATCATAAATATGTAATTTTACAGACAAAATTGACTTTGACATCTTAGCCAGTTAAAAATTAATGGTAAAACATTCTTACCTATCATTCTAAAGAAACTCATTTTGGAGGAGTCTCTTTATTTAAAATTGTATGAAATTTGTGAACTTAATTTATTGAATGAGAATTTCTATCTCAGCAGCTATATTAATGAAATTTAAGATGCGTTAGAAGTTATGAAATGATATGAGCATACTGGAAGAATTATCATCCATTGTTAAACTTAAATAATTTCATTTGAAACAAAAATAGTTAAAATGAAGTTTCCTTCCTTTACTTTATCAAAAATTGAGCAACTTTCTCTTGTAACCTAGAGAAAGCCCATCGGGGGTGAATTGCCTTGTATTATTACTGTTCTTCAAGTTGAGATTCGAGACTGCGATGGCATAGCATCAATATAATGTAAGCACTGTTGGGTTGCTTTCAGCGTGGGCTGTTAAGTGATTGTGTAAGTGGATGTCATTTGTCAGAAGAGTGGAGTGGAGTGGAGTGGGGTGAAGAATTGGAGTGAGAATGCCTTCGTGGTTGTGCATGTGCAAACCACATGATGGTGCAATCCTGCAAAAATGAAAATGGGAAGGGTCCTCACAACATGGAAGTAGAAGGGTCCCACCCTGGACCTCTTCATGGTCATCAGTTTTGTCTAATGCGTATGCAAAGTAGGTATCATGAAAGAAAGGTTCCGTTAGTTGGCAGTTTGGGGTCCATAAAGTTGATTTATTTTATGAAGTTTTCCTGCTTTTCTAGGAGATATGCTTCATCCCCACTTACTTCAGAGATTGTCTTATCTTCTCACATGCCCGAACAAGCCAGTGCTACAAGATTTTGATAACCATGACCAATTATTAAGCACCCCATTGGGATAACATCCACAAGCACATGATCAATTTAAGATCACTGGATTATCATTACCTTCCTCTACTTTAGTATAGCTCTGGTAATTGATTTTTTATCAGGTAAAATAAAAATTTGAGTTATAAACAATATACAATTCCACCATAAACCTTACAGTAAACGTCAATGGTCTCCCGGACCTATGGGAAAAATCCTCTTAATCTCAACTTTTTTTCACCCTAAAAAATTGAGCCTATATAGCAGTCTAATTGTCAATTTCACTTCTCTACCTCTATTTTTCTCACTAATTTCCACTCCTATCCAGCCTTTCTGCTAAACTTACCCTGAACAACTTTCAGGATTATGAATGATACGCCTCAGCCAAAGAATTCCAACAGGAGTCAAACCTGAACATAAATTCATCATAATTTATAGGTGAAATATTAAAAGCGTCGAGATTGTCAAGTCAAGAAAACAAAACATAATAGGTGACAAATGTTACTGCTGCATCAATAACAAGAAAATTGCAATTGAATAATCACTTCCAACAAGTGTAGCAACCCGATTGCCAAGACCATGCCTTTCCAATCAAATTTTGTTCAGTTTACGGCAGAAAAACATGATTTCAGCCAACCTCCAGAAGATGAGCATCAAACAAGTTGGATGAACAACCAACAATTTTGTTGTTGGAGGTATGTACTCCTGCAGCTTAATTATAACAGGTTTTGCAGGACAGGTGGCTTTAAAATGTTGACAATCACAGCACCAATATTACAGAACTCCACGGATATTACCAGACCAATGATCCTGTCGATCTAAAACAAGAACAAAGAAAGCATTAGTTGTATTCCTTATTTACGAGGAAAACAGCAACCTTCTATGACAAAGGGTTCTAAAACCAGACAATTTTATCTTCAAAGAAAAGAACTAAAAACTTCAACTCAACTGATCCACTCAAAAACTCATTAAACAACAAATTACAATATGTGAGAAAAAATAATTATCAGAAAATGCTTTTCAGTCATGATCATATATTCTGTAATCAGGTCACATTATAGCATTCATAACCTGGTTCACAATCAGGAACCTGTAAATATTATCCCAAGCAGCCACATTTACACACCCAAAGTTTACATACCTTTCAGAATCTCCAGTATCTTAGGGATGCAATGCGAAGCAAGGGCAACCAGAGCACCTGACTCAAGAATTACAGATATGCCAGCCATGTTATTCAAATAATTTACAATGTGCAGTAAAATTCAAGAAAAGAAAAGTATAGTTGCTTCGTGTTCTGCAACATTTCACTGTTAGGACCACAATGAATTTGTTATAAATGATAAAATACTTACAATGACAGATGGAAATTATCGATGAACCACATACACAAGTACAGTTTAGAATGTCAAGGGAGCCAGGAATATTGATTTCCTACAAATAAAGCTTACGTCAATACTTTGTAGCAGGTAAGAACTACAGGTCAGTGATGCACCAAAAATGAGGCAGATGCTTACCACTGAAAAAGATAAACATAATCAAAGCAACTTCAGGAAATTGCATATGCATATAAGCTTCCTGTTGAGCAGGGAAAATTCTACATGGTGAGTAAGCAGAAGATAAAAGATGTTATGCCAGGAAGGCAGGAACAGCCAAAGTGAAGCAATAAAAAGTAGTTCTAGATCAAATGTAGTAATAAAATAAAATGAAACTAGTAGCTAAACAGAAAGGGCAAGGCTTCCACGAGTATGGGATCATGTAAGAAACCTTAGCCCAATAAATGAAGAGGCTGTATCTGTGACTAGAAAAATGAGACAACACAGGAAATACATGCAAAACAGCCTGTAGCAATTTAGAAACTCTACATGACACAAATAAATCTTTAGAATAGCTAATATTAAAAACAGATGCAAAATGAGAATTTTACAAAGATTTTAGTGTGACATAAGAAAGAACTTATTTTCTATTTCCTTTTCATTTTATTATGGTTTGTCAAAGGAAGGAGTCAGAAGACGTAAAAGTGTCCTTGGATTAGTATTGAATAAAAATCCATGCAGAAACACAAAAGCAAATATTACCTTGTCCAAGAATCAAGACAGAATTTGAAGCTAGAGAACTGATATCTAGGATCTTCTCACTGGAGAAAAGAACTCGAATAGCTGAAACAGAAAGCAGAAGTCACTTGGATTACCACAGAAAATTGAAGAGAAAGAAACTCACAAAAAGCATTCTAGGATGATCACTAATTTGTATAGACTATGGAAAAAAATAGGATGAAGGGCCTTCTGTCAACCCCTAAATGAAGTTTATAAATTATAAGGGCTTTCACGAAGTTTTATTAGTATCAACTTTTATATTTATAAAGTTTGGGCTTTAGTGTTAACTTAGATATTAATTTATATATATCCTTGAAATTTTGATTTGCACAAATTTAGGTAGTTTGGCTAGTAAAAAATTTTAATTCAAGCTGTTCTGCTGTTCATACTAGAAGAAATTATGGTTATTTTCCATTCCTCGTGTACAATAGCAACAAGTTCAGCAACTAAGAGATTTTTGGTTCAATAAATAATGCAATCAATAATTGAAATGGAAGTTAGTGAACCTGGAAGACGGATAAGCTTTTCACCACAATCATTTCCATCAGCTTCATTTAAAGCATTCTCCATGTCCATTGCAGTGAACATGTGGACAGAATGGCATCCATCTGATATCCAGATAGTCTGAGAAACTACAAAAATAATAACTAATTTTAGCTGAAGAGAGAACAAAGAATAAAGAAAATATAATGGACCAAAAGGAAATAGATGAGTTTTTTTTTTTTCCTTTTAAATACATTAGATCTAATAACTAATTGAACAACTGTAACAATAACATTCTTCAGTTATCTAAGTGCTGTTGACATTCTGAAGTTTATAGTTAGAAGCAAACAAGAATGTCTATTATAATCCTTTTGGTCATTGTTGTCTGAATCAAAGGTCATGCATGTAGGCTTATCAGGTAGACTACAAGCCAAAGCAACCTTCCAGTCACATAAGTCATCCTTCAAATACCATTGCTGTGTTGGGGAAATCATTAAATCCCTGGGTATACACACCAGTTGTTACAGACACATCTCCAAAACATGAATATGAAATGCAACCATGATGCAGTGATAAATGACAAAATTCTGGCAATGTAATTATAAAGATTGCTGAATGACAATGAGAATACTCAGATTTTATCCTAATTAGTTACTGTGCTCTTGTCTCAAGTGGGTATCAGAGCCTATCTAGTTTGAATGTTGGGTTGCCCAATAATATCCAGTCCTATTGGGCCACTCATGCAGATGTCCAGTCCTGCTTGCAAAATTCACGCACCAAATGTCCAGTTCTGGGCGTGAGGAGGGGTGTTAAGATATCCCACATTGATTAAGAATAAAGCCAAAATACTCCTTATAAGGGCTAAGGTAATCATCCTCCTAAGAGCTAGCTTTTGGGAGTGACTTAGGCCCAAGTTTCTTAACAGACAAAATTCTAGCAATGTCTGTCAACCTTGTCTTACACCAATGATCCACCAACAAAATCGAGTAGGTTTGAGTGAACAAGAACAAACCAGTGCCCAGATCATATCAGTCATGATAACAATTGACCAAGGTAACACATTAAAATTAGTATTTATTATCTGTTCACTAATGCTCAATAAATCCCAAATCAAAATCCCATACTTCAATGTGGGACTTGAGTCTCATACACGGCAATTAGATCTTAGCATCAACAAGTTAATCAGATGCTATCAGCACAGATGTGATTATTATCAACACCACAGCCAATGGAAGGATTTTAATGGAATATTTCAACCCCACCAAAAGTCATTCCATGGTTAGCAGCTATTGCCAACATCAACATAAAATCATATGCTAAGAAATCATCCACAAATTAATTCTGAAAAATAGAAAACTAGACAAGGAAAGTGATACTTACTAGTAGATACATCAGGAAGAACAGCCAGACCTTGGACTTTCATAACATGTGGTAGTTGCCTCATACTACCAGCGATATCAAATCCTATGCCAGAATTTGACAGGCATAGCAAATGTAGATCTCCATGTGAGTCCAAGATTAGAAACATCTTCTGGGACACAGCTTGAATGGAAATAGCCTTTATAGATATCGATACCTTCATTGTGGATTTTGTTTCAACCTCATTCCTCTTCAATGCTACAAAACACGAACCTCCATATCTGTTGTCATATTTAAATTTAACATTTGTCTGCTTCACTGAAAGTAGAAAAAAATAGATTAGATAGTATGTTGAGGAATATTGGAAATAGTTTACAATCATACATAGACTCAAATAATCAAGATTATGAGATCCCAACAGATCTATCCTGTAGGAAAATATAGGAAGATAACGTGAGTACATCTCCGGTCCAATAGTTAGTGATTCCATTTGAATGACAAGAAATTCAAAATAAAGCTTGCTGTTAAAGATATGTTCTTAATATTTAGTTATTTACCATCTAAAAAATCTTGGGATAAAACAAAGGACAGCACCTTGTATCGCACCCATATCCTGGTCAATGAGAAATACTTAAAAAATTGTTAGCAGAAATTTAATATTTAAAACATATCTTGGATATTTGACCAGAGTAAGATCTTTGACTGCAGCCATTAAGACTTAAAAGTAGCCCAAAAAACATCATGTTTTAAAACATTTAGGTCTGTAGTATCAACCATCATACTACAGCATTTATTACTGTTAGACAGTGACAGAAATGGTAAAAGAACAGAGAGATCAACACCCTTTAGAATCTTAGATCCCATAGTTGACGAAACTACCATATATTCCAACTTATTAGTGAAGTTCTAAAACCGCATTAGAGTCAGCGGTAAATTACTCATCAATTTATTCATTACTGAAATGATACTGTAAAATGGTCTCAAGCTGTCAGAAATTGTCAGAAAAAATGAAGGAACTATCACCAATTAATAAATCAATAACTAGATAACCAATGGAAGCAATGTTGTCAAGATCCGGATATTACCCAATTTAGCAGCAAACAGAACACCCACAGACCACCCACACAGGATCGCAAACCACCCACACCTAGAGAGGAGGGAGCCCAGAACCACCCTCGCAGAGCCACAAGCCACTCACACAAAAGCACAAAGACAGAGAATGCAGAAGCTCAAAGACAAAAAAGAGAAAGGAGGTGGTCGCCCCGCATGAGATAGGGTTCCAAAAGTGTTAGCGGGTATGGAAATGGGTTTTTTTAAAACTAGGGTCATTATATCCAACCCGAACATCGGGATCAGATTGCCGCCGGAAAAGATTGCGATCCCAAATGACCCCAAGCGAGTCCTATCTTCTGTGCAATCCAGATTGTTGAGAGGGGAGGGAGGGAGGGAGGGAGGGAGGGGGGGGGGGGGGGAATTGCAGGATCGTGCAATATCACGATCAAGATCCGGATCTTGACAACATTGACTGGAAGCCCTATTTAAGTTTGAACTAACCAAACTCTTTGCGACCTACACAAGAAAGGGACCATTTCAATGGGTTCTGACAGGAACTTCATACAGCAGATTAGAAAACAGTATAAAATGTTTTCCTCCATTGTTTGCAAAGTTGTTAGAGAAGAGTGTCATTATTTATTTATTATTCCAATTCAATTGCTGGAAATATATAGAGGGTTTTAATGTCATGTTATATAGGACAAAAAGTTTATTTATATAGGTGACTATAATGATAGCCTTCTCTGGAATCAACTAATGTAAATAATTAGGGTTAGCAAGCAAAGCATTTAGCTGCTCCATCTTTTGTGGGATAAAGTGGTCTTCTTGGCCCCCTTGTGGTGCTTAGCTAATGGCTGTTTATGAGAGGTATCATTGTTGGACAATAACACTGATTAGGACAATTACATCATAACACAAGGTCTCTGAACAGCACAAAGGAAGACAGAAACACAAGAGAAAGCATGAAGTGCCTGGTGCCATCAGAGTTAGCAGAGAAATGTCGGAACAGGAGCTGCAAACTGATGTGCTGACATTGGCCAGAAAACGCTGGAAAAGGGCCACCCTATGCAGGAAAAAGTATGTTTGCCTGAAAAAGTGACCAGATGCATGTGGGCTGTAGATTGACTGATTGACGGAGATGGGAAACAGGGTTCAATGGTGAACGGTTTCAAATCCCAACCTTCCATGGTTCTAAAGGAGATGTTAACTCATAAAAGGAACCCTAAAAATTGGCTTACTGGTCAAAGAAAAAGGTGGACGCAGAATCAGGTTCTCACTAATTGGTACAGCAGCACTACCTTCCACAATTTGGCTGCAATATTTGTTGCTATCCACACAGCACACTGAGTTATCTACAGTGGCCAGCAAGTGTGACATTCTGGCACAACATGATAGGGCACTATACACAGCTATTGACTACTCTTATATCTTCAGCAACACATAGTTGAGATTGGTTATTCATCATTAAAATAATCAATGAAACTCATCATATCAAAGAATTGGAGACTGTATTAAACTCAGATGTTTCTAGTAAAAATGCTTATTGCATAGGATAATGAGTACTGTGGCTACAAGGTGTTGATAGGCAACATATAGATAAACAAGAAAAAAAAAAAAAGCGTAGACAAGATTTGACTTGTTTCTTGAGGGTTAAGACACTAGATAATGATGAATGAATTTCCTTCACACTAGTAATCTCTCATGAAATACTCCTATAATTTACATTTTATATTAAATATGTGATCTGTATGAACCACCTCCCACCCACAATAGATAGGTGAGCATACATGACTATCTACTACCACTACAACAACATCACCAAGCCTTATCTCACTAGGTGAGGTCGGCTACATGGATCACACGACACCATTAAGCTTGATCATACATGCCTATCTACTATCCTAAATAAAGCCTCCATCACCTATTCATCACAAATATTAAACAGAACTACTGCTTCAAGTGACCAACAATAATGCTGAAACCATGTAAACTGAGACTAAAATGTAAATATACCATATGCAAAATATCAATCAGAACATAGTAATGAGTGTGGTAGTTAAAATCATGGTAGTCAAAATCGAAATTGTACGTAGGATCAGAGAGGGGGTTCAGGATCGTAAATCGTAGATCGTAACACGGAACATAAGATCCTACAAAATTATATATATACATATAAAATAGTATAAATAGGAAGAAAATAAAAACATTAATTCAAACCACAATACTTTAAAAGATGAATATTAAGAACATGTCCAACATAAAGTTCCAAACGAAATACAAAATCAATATCCAAACTTTAAATATCTATTTTATCATATCTAAAATATGTTGATAATCAAAAAAGTCATCATCTCCTTCATCATCTTCATTTGGTCCATCATCTCCTTCATCATCTAAATTGTCTATATTAGGAACATCACCAACACCAACATCTTGATTTGATCCTTGGTCTAAATCCATGTCCCCATCTTCATCAAGAGCATCAACCTGAATGTCCTCATCTTCCAAATTGTCTTCTAGGCCCAAATCTTCATGATTTCCTCTATCATTATTTTCCACTATCCACTCATTGTCAAATGGAATATCATCTATATTTATGTGAAGATCCTTCACTCTCATAGCTGTCTTCTTCTTAGTCAATTTTGAATTTGTCATAACAAATACCACATCATTCATTGTATTTTGCTTTAAACGGTTTCTTCTTTTAGTATGCACCTAAACAAATAATAATATATTAAATTATAATTTAAGATAAAAAAAATAGTTGGCTAAAGAATTTCTACTTACCATCTCAAAGGCACTCCAGTTACGTTCACATCCAGAAAAACTACATATCAAGCTTAGTATTCGAATAGCAAATTTTTAAAGCTCAGGATACTCATCTCCATGAGACATCCACCGATCCGTTGGCAAACGCATATCAATAATATTTCTAGCCAAGTGACTACCAAAATTATCAACTCGCTTTCTAAATGAATCAAGTTGACAATCAATTTTACGTTGTTCATCTTAATCAAGCACCATCCTTGTCAAACAATCATATAGTCCACGCTTAACTTCAAAATCAGCCTTAAATTTAGGACTATAGTGCATCCTAGGATTAAGAAAATAGCCTGCAGCATGCAAAGGCCTATGGAGCTGTTTATCCCATCTTTCATCTATGATATTCCATATAGGTACATAACTAATAAAGAACAAACAACAAAGATTTAATATATAATACAACATAGATCACAAAATAGAGACTAATTTAATTTGATAAATTATAGTTAGTTACCTTTTCTTAACACCATTGAAAGCAATTTGAATATTCTCTTTAGCTTGATCCATTGCCTCATAAATAAAGCCCATAGTTTCTTCATTTGAATCAACCATTCGAAGAACTTTGATAAGAGGAAATGCAGCCTTCAAACAAGTGATTATATCCTTCCAAAACTCTTTATCCAAAATCAATTCTTCTATAACTCTCCCATCCTTTGTCTTAGCAAACTTAGAAGACTTCCATTCATTAGATGTGAACATTCTTATCAAAGCAGCTCTATTTTCTTGAAGGCACCCTAAAGTCAAATAAGATATAGCAAAACGAGTAATTCATGGCCTTACCAAATCTTTGCCTTTGGTGAAATGTTGCAATAGAGAAATAAGACCCGTTCTTTAATAGATGTAGGTTGTAATTTTTCTACCTTTTGGAATTGTCTCTTCATGAACTATATCTTCTTCTCAAAGTCCTCCAACATCAAATCAATGTAATGTGCTGCACAAGGAGTCCAATACAAGTGTTTCCTTTTTTGCATCAATATCTCCCCTGCAGCTTTATAATTTGCTGCATTATCAATCATAACTTGGACTACATTTTTCTCACCAATTTCTTCAACAATATCATCAATCATTTTAAATATTTTATCAGCTGTTTTTTCTATATGAGATGCATCAATAGACTTCAAAAAAATAGTTCCTTTAAGACTATTCACCAAGAAGTTCAATATTGTTCTCCTCCTCTTATCAATCCACCAATTAGTCATTAATGTGCATCCAACAGTATTCCATTCAGCTCTATGTTCTTCTAATCTCTCCTTTGTTAACTCTATTTCTTTCTTTAAATACTTTACTCTAATTTCATGATAGCTCTCCTTTGTTAACTCTATTTCCTTCTTTAAATACTTTACTCTAATTTCATGATAGCTTGGTGGTTTAAATCCAGGACCATGGCTAGCAATTAAATTATACATAACAGAAAATTCATCACTTCTTGCCACATTGAATGATATGGCATTATTATAAAAAAACATTCCAATAGCTTGACAAGCCTCCTCTCTTCTAGTTTTGTTGAATATGTTGTTGATTGTTGCTTGGGTGTTCCTTTTCCGAAAAATATTTCCTCCTCCAGTCACCTCATTCTCACTTGTTTTTCTTTTGCTTCCATGCTTTTTTACCTCATCCGGGACAGATTTGCATGCTCCAACATCTTTGGCTATTTGAGCCAAGTGATGCTTCAATCTATAAGCACCTCCACTTACAACTTTTTGACAATATTTGCATTGAATTTTTCTTATACCTTCAATTGCAATTCCATGTTGCCATGCTACGTCACTTTTGTTTCCCGGTGCATTTTTTAGTAATGACTTGGAGGGAGGAGCATGACTACTGGTTGAAGCCATTTTATCTAATGGTAACAGACAAACCGTAGCACAGAAAACAGAAACCAGAGCACAAAAACGATATCAAAAACAGAATTCCCAGTCACACACAACAGCCCAGATGAAGAAGAAAAAAACAGAGCACAAAAATCACAAAATCTCAGACCCAATCGCACAAAAATTCAAGTCGCTGGAGCCAAATCCCAGTAGCCTGAGCCAAGTCGCAGTGCCGGAAAGACGCAGAGAAGTCGAACAGAAGAGTCAAAGGGGAAGAAGTCGAACAGCAGAGTAGGAGGAAGAAATATCGAAGAATAGAGGGAAGAAGAAAGGTAGAAACCTGCGTAGAAGTTTTCTGATTTTAGGGTTCCAACCCCTTTAATGTAGTTGGGTCAGGTCGCGGGTCAAGGCGCCAAAAAGGGTCGTCTTCCTCGCGTCGTCGGGATCGTGCGTTTCAATGATTTTACGCTTCGACAAGCACGATCCCACCGATCCTACCAAATCGTGCTTCCGTCACCGATTCAACACGAAAGCTTGCCTGGACATTTGAAACGCGATTTTGACTACCTTGGTTAAAATCATGATTTTACACATAAGATCGTACGTTTTACAATTTTCTCATGCCTCAGCAATCCCTATCACAATCTCTGACTCATTTTGCTAGGATCAGTAGGATTGTAAGATCTTAGCCATAAGATCGTCGGATCGTACAATTTTTCTGATCCTGCTTGAATTCATTTCTTTTGAGAAGAAAACAAAAAATCTGACCCATTCCATTAGATTAAAGACTTTAACTCATTCATTTTGGCACTTTTCTTCATCTTTTTTTGCTCTTATGCACACAAAAGTTCTAAACCCCTTCTTGGTTTTTCTACTTCTGGGTTTGGCCCTATTCACTTCAGTTCTTTTGCTTCTGGGTTGAAGTCCTGGTTCATTTTCTTGTGGGTTCAACTACTCCGTGCTTTGGTTCAGCTGCTACACTAATTGGGACCCTGGATTCAAGTTTCGAATCTCTGCTAGATTACACTCTTTTCATCTGTTTAGTTATTTACAAAAGTCTTTTAAGTGGGAAAGGAGCTGCAAAGGAGAGTAATGGGAGTCCAGATGCTGCTAAGAGTTGGAAGCAGCTAGGATGATGCTGCCTGTGGGGGTTCTGAATTTGGAATTGTTGTGACTTATAAGTTTATGGCTGTTAATAATTTAAGGTAATTTGGTCTTATTTTTATTAGTTTTTATGCATATATATGAATTCAAAATCATTTTGTATTTTAAGTAGGATCTTAAGATCCGTGTTACAATTACACGACTTACGTGTTTCCCTAACCTTACCTAGGACCCAACCTTTCCAATCCTAGGATCTCAATTTTGACTACCTTGGTAATGAGTAATGACAAAAAAAAGTAATGGCATGTTGAGGCTACAATTACAACTTAGAAAAAAAAATATAAAGTATGAAACAATATTATAACTAAGGTCTCACTTTATCTTCACAAGGATGACAAGTTGATAAGAAAAACAATACAATTGGAGAAAAGAAAGAGACAAAAATGTAAGTAACTGTATAAAACAGAGAAACAATGTTTTCTAGTCTTAAAGCATCATCAGCCATAATTAATGAACAAAAACCCCCCAAGAACATAACTTAGACATGCAAAAATTCAAATTTCGTTCAGAAATAATTAACATCAACAACCATTACTTCAATTGAAGCAAGCAACACATAAGTTTATAAAACACGCTAATTACTAAACACTAAGTGTAAAATCCATTGGTTTATTTGATCAACTGGAGCAAGCAACACGTACCCTTATAAAAGAACCATTATACCTAGAGTCTACACAAACAACTATGATTATTTTCTACCCATGAAGATCTGCATACACATTTTCCAGCTAAACAATTATAACTCCACAAGTTGTCCTCACCTCACTTTATAAAAAAAACCCCTAATCCATTGAAACTCAATAAAAGTTAGACTTAAGTATATTAGCCACAATACAAACAAAAGAACCAATTACAACTTCTACAAGCGAGAAATAAACTACCAACATCACCATGTCATCATCATTACATATCATTAGATCAAAAACCAAATGGACCAGCTTCAAGTCAAGTTACTAAAAATCAAAACATTCTCACAATACAGCATAAAAAAGTCAACGTATTTACCTACCAGCAACACCATGCTTTTCAATTCTCCCCTCCAAATCACCATTGAAATTCACCACCTCCGCAACCCCTTCTCCACCAGAGCACTTCCCACCTCGCTCCCCGCGGCCACCACCGCCATTCCGAACCTGCCTCGAACCCCCAACCCTCTTCCCACCCCTTCCTTTGACGAGCCGCCGCAATCCAAAAACCCTGACCCCATTCTCCTCGCCGAGAAGCAAGAACCCGAAGGAAACACTAACGGACCAAACCGGCCTGGAGCATTCAATCGCAGCACACCTCATCAACTTCAAGCACCAACCATCATCGTCATTGTCTGTTTTAACGGCGAACACCCAAACCTTCGAGCTCGAAACGGAGTACAACGCGAAGTAATTAACGGAACCGGCGAGCTTAACGGAGACGCCATGCTTGGAATCGAGAAGAACCCCTAATTTGGGTTCGAAGCGAAGGTCCTTGTGGGAGCAGAGGACACGTGGCAATGCGGCGAAGGAATTGGTGTGTCTATGGAGAATGAAGAAGCGAAGGAGGATTTGAGAACCGGCACGGTGAGGGGAAGAAACGAGGAAGAGGACATTGGGGGTGGAATTAGGGTTTGAAGGGGACTGGAGGAGAAGGAAGGTAGAGGAAGATGAAGGGGATGGGATTAGGGTGTGTGGTTGTGCAAGGGATTGGGATTGGGATTGGGATTGGGAAAAAGAAGGGTAGAGAGAGAGAGAGGAATCAGAGTGAGTGAGGGCAAGGGAGAGTGAAGAGGGTTCAAAGAGGATTGAGGTTGTGTGAGGAGAAGAGAGGGAACTAGGGTTTGGGAGGGTTAGCTTTGAAGCTTCTACCACAACCATTACAATCACTCCTTGTTTGTTTGGGACCTGCCCACAAAGAACACCAACTCTGGAAGAACGGGGCAAACACTGTCTTACCACTTTCGGCCTTCAATTCACTATTTGCTTATTTCGGTACCTTCGTTTTATCGTTATTTTAGATTCGATTTTATTTTATTTTATTTTAGATTATCTTTTTTCTCATTAGACCGTCCCCTCTTGATAAATAAATCGTTCTTTTTTATTGATTTAAATTTTTAATTTATAAAGTTAAGTTGCCGAGGAATTTGTAAGAGATTTGATTTTTTTTCAATATTTGAATTTATTTAAGCATGAAAGTGTTCATTGGGAGATCCAAGACCAAGGATGGTTATTCAAAGTAGTCAACGTGAAATTGCTAACGAAGGAAACGTTTGTACAATGCGAAGTAAATTAACGTTTGTTCTACTTCTGCAGGATCGGAACACGGTGGGCATGAATGTTAAAGGACAAAAATCATATAATTATCTATGACACTTGTAACAGAAATTTTATGGGTTGTTTTCTATTTTTATTTTTAATTATGAAACTAGTATCCTTTTTTTATTATTTATAAAGATTTATAAAAAATTATTTTTAAAAATCAAATCACTCTTAAATTTATAATTGTACCTTTGCAAGCTAAATTTTTTTTGCACTCAATAAAATAAATGTTTAAAAAATGTTATGGATTCCATGTATAAATAAATTCAATAATTAATTTAAAAATTTTATTTATTTATGTTTAAATATATATAATTGATTAGTGTGAGTTAAAATACCTAAAAAATCTATGATAAGAAGAAATTTGGATCAAAACTGTTATGATTTACTCGTATTTATGTAAGTCAGTTTTATAGTTTGTTTATTTGAGAGTTGTGATTTGAAAGAATAAATTATAGAAACTTTAGCGTATTAAAAGTCACGGGACTAAATTATAGACAAATTTTTATTTATAATATTATATTATGATTTTTATATAAAATTATTTAATATATTATTATAAATTTTAAATAAACTATTCTAATAAGCTTGACATGTTATTTTTTTAAAGCTCAAGTGTAAAGATATGTTGTGTCTCTACGGTGACAGTGCAATATTTAACATGAATTAGTTGTTTTTTTAGTACACTAACATGGGAGGACAGAAAAAGCATCACAAGGATTTTTATTTTATTTTTTTTATTATTAGAAAACTATAGAATAAAAGGTGAGATCAGCAACTTTAAAAATAGAGAGAGATTCGGAACCTCTTTGTTCTTGAAAAGTTAAAAATAAACAAACCCAAATAAGAGAGATAGATGAACATGCAACCCATGGAGGATTATTATGTTGTAGTCATATAATACCCAATTTGTTTATTGTTGGGTCATTTTTTTGGCTTGTGAGCCTCAATAAATTAGGTATCCACGTATATTGTATAACGTTTGTTACCCCTTAAAATAGCCTATTAATATTATATCTTAAACACCTTTGTCCACCTTAAGCACCAACACAGTGCAATATAATACAGTCACATTTTCAATTTCCACCTTAAGTGGCAGACAAGATTCTCACATATAATAGGCAACAATTATTATTAGCATTGAGAGTCATAAAAAACTTCAGCTAGGCAAAGTCGATCTTAACAGTTCATCATATCTTACACAAAATTAAACTAAATGATTCATTAATCTCAGCAATAACTCTACAATAATGCCTCGTGCAACACTTTGTTGAATTAATATATGGCAGACCACCACAAACTAAACCAACTCTAGCACATGCCTTCTTTAAAGTGCTAACCCTCCACACTGCAAAACCCAACCATACTCTCATCATTATTCACCAACAAAAGATTTACTACCTAACACCTTGACCCACAACCACATAAATTTCAATGCAAGTAACAAATTGTGGTCAAATTGTAAATTTGTTACAAAGGTCTACATACTAAGTCAAAATGAAGGAAAAAACCAAAAAATCATCATCTCTCATTCCTCAGTCAGTGAAACCAGCAATAACAGCATGAGGCTCACATGCCTTAGCAGCTGGGCTGGGCTCAACACTTGGGCCGGGCTCAACGGGCTTGGCAAGAAGCTCTTGAGGCAGGTCCTTGATACCCTTAAGATAAAATGTGTAAAATAGCTTAAAGGGGAACACAATTTGATGCAACTTTACTTGACCATACACCCCCTCAAAGATTCCAGATCCACCAGTCACAGCAAGATACGTGTCTTCATAGGTCAAGTAAGAACCCTGCACTGAAATGTGACCATAGTCTCCAAAGTAGAAGCTGTAGATAGCCTCATACCTATCTCCTTTCTTCTCAGCCTTGTTTTGGATCAAAACACAAATACCAGCAGTTATCCCAACGCGCTTTTGCAGGCATCCAGAATACAACTGCATAATTCAGAACAAAAAAAATTTCAATACCAAAATCAAAATCGTCTACCTTAGTTAAAAAATATTTTATCCAAATAAAACTGTAATATTAATTGCATAATAAGTAAAAAAATATACTTTGATTATGTCTTCTAATTAAAGAAAGAAAAACTTTAAACATAAGATTGGAACTGTAAATAGAATAAGGTAAAGTGGGAATATCAAATACAAAAGTTATGCTTTTGCTACTAACATAAGTTAGCATTAAAAAAGATGGACAAAGGCTCAGAAAATGAAAATGTAAACAAAGAGCAAAGAGTGACACACCTTGTTGCTGAAGGGGACTAGATCACCAAGGGAATTAACACTTTTCTGGCTTAATCTAAGATAAGCAGGGCTTCCACGATCTCTTTCATTGATCTCATAGACACTAAGTTCTTGGACTTTAGCTGCAAGATCAAGCCAAAAAACCAAAAGGGTCAGCACAGAACCAAGCAAATACTAACAGATCTTAACACAAACGATGCGGGGCTACACAACAACAAAAGCAACAAAATAGAAGAACTTGTAGGGGTGTTGGCATATCTACCTGAGTCAGATGATGGTTGAGCCTGGCTTCTACAAGTGAAGGACTTGTGGGGCACTGAAGTTTTAAGCTTGAGAGCTTTAGACAGAGAAGGGTTTGACTTTGATGAAGTAAAGGGCAAAAGGGTTGAGGTAGATGAAGTGGTGAGTGATGATCTTGGGGGAGCTGGTTTCATAGAGATAGAAGAGATGTTTCTCAAAGCAAAGGTTGAGGAAGCCATGACGATGATATTTAGGATATGGTGATGAGAAAAAGTGAAATGTTGTATGAAAAAGTGAAGGTGGCAGTGATAAAAGGGTCCTATGGAAGTAGTGTATATATAGGAAAGGAAAGTGAGAAATAAGGAGAGAATGAGTGGACGGTGAGATGAAGAGTGTTAATTATTAAAGTATGAATCATCTTTTGTGAAAGTGAAATCGCCGCGTTTGGGCAACATAAAAAAGAAGGTGAACGTGAAGCATGCTCAAAAATGAAAATTCTTCTTTCTTACTCTCATTGGTCAATCTCTAAGACACACGGACGGTCTTAACTTTTTCTTATGACGCGTGTATTTTGTTTATTTCTTGCAAAACATATTAATTTATATATGATTTTTACTCGACCACCTTTTTATATAAAAATTTATGATTTTAAATCTTTCAAACCTTTTTTTTCTGTAAATCATTTTAATTATTAAAAATATTTTTATTTTGAAGATAATAAATCCATAACTTTTTATTTAATTGATTTTTAATGTGTATATAATAAAAAATTAATATATAATTTTTTAAAATATCTTATAATTTTCAAAAAAATTACCATGCATAAGTTTTTACTAAAAAAAATTAAATAATTAATAATAGTACAATTTTATTAAAATATATTTCATATGCTAATTTTTTTAACAAAATTATTTAAATGAAAACATATTTATTATACTTTTTGTTAAAACAAAATTCTTAACTGCTTAAAGACCTATTTTGATAAATGAGTTTTTTTTATTTGAGATAAAATATTGATATTACTAATGTGTTAGTTCAAATGTTTTAACTAAATAATTGAGTTTTACAATAGTTAACTTATCTTTTACATGTTCTAAAATAATTATCTTAAACACTAGCAAAAACTATTAAAAATAGATTCAACTTTCTCTCTCTTATTTTTTACATCTTTACTTTATTTTTATATCTTTTACATCAAAGTATATTTATCATAGTTCTTCTTTGGAAAATAGTCATTCATTTTTTCAAAATTTAACAAAAGCAAGTAAAACTAAACACACGCTAAAATAATCAATCATTTGTGATAAAAATGACAAAATAGGGTACAGAATTTTGTATAATAATTAATTTTATATTGAAAATAATTAATTCTTAGGGATGAACTAACAAAAAAAATAAAAAACAACCTGCTAATTTTTAATTAAAAGGTTCCAAATTTTTATTATAAAAATACCATTTCTTTTGTTCAGATTTCCAAACACACTTGAATGATAATCTTTTTCCACTAATCAAATTATATATCTTTTAAAAATTATCCAATCATTTTCTAAGTTTAAATATCAGTTCCTACTAATAAGAAATTCAGTGAATAATTGACTGTAAATACATTTAAAAAAAATGTTTATATCTTAGTATTTGATAAGATTTGAGGTTTCTTGTTTCTATTTAGTTGTTTTATAATCGTGTTAATTGAGTGCAATTACTATGAAATATAAAAAGCCAAATCTGCGGTCCCTGTCTATTACCTTACGAATTTTTGGCGCACGCTTTTCCATACCGACCATACCAATTTAGTTTATCTATTATTGTTATTTATGTGATAAAAGGAGGAAAATAATGGTAAAAGAGTTACGCTAACAGCAGTTTTTAGACTATTTTTAAGTAATTAATAATAATAATTTTTTATTAAAAGAATAAATCATTAGTTATATTAAAATATAAAATATATTTATTTTTTAATGAAATTTATCATTGGTGTTTACTTAAATTGATATCAACAATTAATAATTTTGATGATATTTCTATAAAAAATGCAACATTTTTAATATTATATAATATTAAAAATGCAAAAAATATGTGTAATAGTTTAAAAATATAATCGAACACGCAAAAGAACTAACAAAAGTTATTCTTATTTAATATGTTGTCTTGAATTTGAATATCAGTTACTTAATAAATTTAATTTTTTTGCAATCAATTTATATGCATTCACTTTTGAAGTCATGGTCTTAGGATATTTTTATATTTTATTATTTTTTTAAATTTAAAAATAAAATAAATGGTAAAAATTTGTCACTACAATCCATATTGCAAATTTTCTCCATTTTTTTATACCAACAATTAAACTTGAATCCTTAATTGAAGAAACACAAGCTCTTACCGCTTGAGTTGTTTGTCATCCAATGCAAATAATGATTATATTCTCCTCTTTTTTATATCCATTTTTTTATTTTTTTAGAAAAAGAAAATGAGTAAAAATTAAATGTAAAAAAAAAAGGATTGTGTGATTATTTCTTATTAAATTGAGAAGATATCATCACAATTTTTTATGAAGGGAATACAATAGAGATTCGGGCATTAATTTGATCAAGCTTTAGTTCAAATGGTTTATAAATAAAAGAGCACAAGGTCATTGTGTTAAAAGATATATTATTTTTATATGTATTTAATTTATAAAGATATAATTATTTAATTTTTAAATTTCATTGATTTTTTATGTAATGTTTATTTCACATGAAGAGTGATGGATAGAAATTGAAATAAAAAAGGATACGAAAGTAAAAAATTATGATTTGGATTTTTTATTTTTTGTAATGGGAAAGAAAAGATGATCGTGGAGTCCACATACACATGCATTCTCTTGCCTCAATAGATGAGGTTTTTTTAGCTTTTCCACCTTGTTGTCTTTTTTAAAAATATTTAAAAATTAAAAAATATGCTTTTATTAGAAAAATATTGTAAGAAAAATAAAATGTTTTAATTATATTAAAATTATTACAAATAATTTTTAATATAAATTATTTATATTTTTACTTTTTTATTTATCTAAAGAAATATATATAATTTATTTATATCTTGAATATATCTATTTTTTTATTAATATTTGATTTATGAATTTTGGTAATGTTAATCCTCAAGACAGTCGGTGTTTAAGATTAAAGATAAACAATTAATAATAATAAAATTTTATTAAAATTGATAAAATATTGTTGATTTATTTATAATAAAGAGTCGAATAATTGTCTAGGGAGATCGAAAACAAACATTTATCACGTGGGCCCTCAAAAGTACGCATAAAAGTGAGTCACGGAGTTTGGAAGATGGTGATGTTAGGAATATACATGCCTTCTTAAAGACGGGAGACAAGTTGTCCCTTCTAATTTTGAAACAACGTTTATATGCCTTTTTTGTTATATTCTTTTTCAAATTAAATTACTAAATTGTTATTTTTACAAAACTAATTTTATATTTGGAATGAATTTGACCTGTGTTAAAAGTTTCGCCAACACTATAATTCTTTTATAAAATACGAAAAATATAGGATCATGCTAAATGTCAAAGTTACAGGTCTCCTAGCAAAGACAAAGTTTCACCATGAGCCTATCAAAATATGAACAATGTAAATATCTTGAATGATTTGATAAGTTTGTCATTAAAAATGCAATACAGTTAAAGTATTTTAGGGTATATGCAAAAGTGATCACCATGGAAAGCACATACTTGTAGTGTATGTGCATATCCTCTAGTAGTTTTAATGTAAGTGTATTCTTTTGTTTAATAATTTTTTTTTATATATATGGAATAATTTTGCATTTGAAAAAATGGAAGAATAATTTTAAAATATTACTCATACAATTGAATTTTTTCATAACATACTGATGTACCTAATTTATAAGTATGAAATTAATTACTATTGTGAGTTTAATTTAAATTAAATATGTAATAAATAATACATTTTTAAGAAATAAATTAGAATTTCGTTGAAATTTATTTATAGTTGTAATAGATTTTTTTGAATTTATTGCTTTTTATTTGTAAAAATGTAAGATAAGTGAAATTGTTATTATTGTATATTAAAATGATAGAATTTATGAAAAAAAAAATGAAAGAGTGAGTTTTAAATAAAATAGATATTAAGTTTTGAAGTATTAAAAATAAAATTTGTTTTGAAACTTAATATTGGTCGTAATAATATTATTTTTAGATTAATTTTATATTTTTTTATTGATAAAAATATTACACAAAACACAACTTTAGAGATATATGATAATGAAGATATTGATCGTATGATAAATACATATCAATAATAAGCTAATAGAATTGTTATTGAATTATATGTAAAAGTCATTGCTAGTGAAAATTCATTAGTTCTGTGTGAGATGTTAGACTTAAATTTATTACTTTCATAATTAAATGATAAAAATCAAGTTTTCTTCCTAGATAATTTGAGAAACTATTTCTCAATTTAGGGTTACAAGAAAACAAATTCTTTTCTTAAAGTGAAGAATGACATGTGAAATAATTGTCGTAACATACATTATCGACACCTCTTAATTATTTATTTATTTATTTTTAATGTCTTAAAATATGATACCAATACTAGCATCGTTGGACACGTGTTCTGACGATTAACAAAAAAAAATTGAAAAAAATCAACAACTAAGGTTAAAACACGTGACAATATCCTAAAGTGTTAGTTGGCTCATATTCGATTTCTATGTTGGCACTGTCAAGCCTGACACATATTGTGATTGGTCTAATTTCTTCTATTGTCCTACCTCTCTCACCTACGCTTCTTCTTATACATTCATCTTGAGCAATTGTCAAAAAAATCAATAAATTGAGTGAGTTATTAATGCAAAAAGTTATAGCATTTTACAGTGGTTATTTCGCTATTTTGATATTCTACAAGGTAAAAAAATAAAAATATCAATATATTTTGTATTAAATATAAATATTAATTTATTTTTATATATTTATAGTTATTTAATCTTTCAAGAAAAAATTTGAAAAGAATCATGACATGTGGTAGGAGTGACGTTTTTAATTACATTCAACAGTTCAGCAAAGGTTAGTAAAAAATTAAATTTAAATATATTTTTTATATTTTATTGTATTTATAAAATAAAAAAAGATTTTATATTTTGAAATTATAAAGTTTAGATAGGTATTTAAAATTTATATTAGCTCATTTTTATTATTTTAGATTTCATAGGTTGAAAGTATTAATTAAAAATAAAACTGATGTAAATATTATTTATTATTGTCATTATAATTTTATAAATATAATAAAATTATAAA